TTTGTTAAGAGCATGTCATGCTTGACCAACCTTATTTCCTTCTATGGCAAAGTGAGGGGCTTCACAGGTATGGGGAGAGCACTGGATGTAATATACATTGGGGTTAGTAAATTTGCAGATTACATTAAATTGGGTGGCACTGCAGATACTCTGAGAGATAACATTAAGATCCAGAATGAGCTTGATAAACTGGGAAAGTGGCCTGGAATTAACTGAATGAAACTCAGTGACAGCAAGTAAAACAATTACATGTGCAAATATAGATCGGAAAGTGAAGGCTGAAGTACTGCAGAAAAGGTCCTGGGAGTTATAGTAGACCGCAAGCTGAATGTGAGGCAACAATATACCAGCCTGCAATAACAGATGTGTCACCTGGTAGTGATTCTATTCAGTACTGTATCTACAGTACTGTGTCCATTTTGGGTCACTGCACACCAAGACAGACAGACAAACTGGGCATATCCAGTGGAAAGAGACAAAATTGATCAGAGTTCTAGGACCATCACTTATGAGGGAAGGCTGAAAGAACTGGGATTATTCATTCTGGAGAAGACTGAGAGTATGATTTGATAAGTCTTTGAATACAACAACAGTCATTTTGAAGAAGATGGTGATAGCAGGTTCTCCAGATATCCAAACTAAATTTCCTTGTTACAATTTAAGACAGTTACTTATTGCCATATCCCCTGTGGTTATAGACACTAGTCAAAGTGAGGGTAGAAAGATACTGGGGATGGGCTAGCATGGATAATCCTAGCTTGGCATGGATGCCTACCATGGCATGAATGATCCTACCTTGATCTGAGGGTTGGACAGATCAGGAATGTTAAACAGATGGCCTCTGAGCTGGATCCAGCCTGGAGTACTGTTTCATTCAGCCTTCCAGGCTATTGTTGAGCTAGCAAAAGTTGGGGTTGGGAGTAGGGCCATAGTTTGAGGTAGAATTCAGAGCCCTTGGGTCCTGGCAGCCTTGGCTGTTGAAAGTAAGATGGCAAGCGAAGGCTGTGGCCCTGTGGTTACCAGACCCCTGTTGCTACCCGCTTATCCTCACCAATCCCACTGGGACTGTGGATATAGCCCAGGAGGAATCCTGAGGTCCAGATCAGTCCAGAGTCTAGGATGAGTTTGATACTTCTGGATTATATGAATTCCTGAACTCCTCTTCATTGCTATTTCTTTAAAATCCTATGGCTTACAAGGTATGCCTTGATAGCAGAAAGCTAGATCTAATTTCCATCAATGGATGTGGAGAAATACTTCTGCTCATGAACAGGACACATTGTAAAATATATAGGATAACATTTGTTTCAGTTGATACTTTTGACCCTGCCTCTGGTTAAGAACTAACACTGAAAAGGTAACATCTATAAAGTGGAACATATGAGAACCTCATCTAGAAAACTGGAAATGCATGCCATCCCAAATGATACTGTCAATCATTTCTCCCAGGTGCTGCTTATCTTCAGAGTGCCAACAACATTAAGGTAGCTATTCATGATCAAGCACCTGATTGATGATATTTCAGTTGTTTTTCTTGTGAGTGGGGCTGCTGCAAAAGTTATTCTAGGTTTACAAATTATCTACATTTGGTTGGGAAACAGCTTTCCAAAAATTCTCATGGGATGGATTTTTTAAAAAAAAGTTTCCTTTTTAACATAGATGAACTAAAATTTTGAAATAACAACAACAATAACAAAACCCCAAATCAATTTTTCTTTTTGAGAAACAATATGAGATATCTTGACAGTTTGTAAATATTCAAATTAGGAGAATCATCAAAACTGACACTTGAAAAGTTCATTGAGATGAATCAGCATTTTCAATAAAAACATATTTTATGAAAAAATTCCAAACCAGTTCTAATATTATTCTGTTTACTGGGTTACTGCTTAAGCCAGCCAAACCACAATGCAGTAGGAAAAATGGGAGAATCACAGTTGGCTGCTTGAGAGGGTTTCCAGAACTGGTCTTAGGCTGGGTACAGATCTTACACTTTTACCAGTATAAGTGATTGGAAAATGGTCTATATCTGTAACAGAACAGAAGTTCAGTACACGTAGATTGGTTCAAAAGTGACAAAACCCAGTCTAAGATTTGATCCCCCCTCTCCCCCAACCCCAGGGCAAATGTGTCTTCTGGCTGCTACCAATTTTAACTATGCTGCATATAGAAAACTATGCAATTTAGATCGATTCCAGCTTGGGCTTTTTGCATGTCTGTATCTAGCCTATGGCAGTGTGGGATGCCCTTCAAGTTTAGAAATCAGACACAATGTTGACCTCAAAGTTTAAAGTTAGTCATTTTGTAGATCTGTAGAGCTCACTTGAATACAGGAATGTTTACTTTCTTAATTAATATGAAAAGCTCATTGGTTGGCCTCATTTTATGATGTGTGTTCATTTTGGAGCACTTCACACCAAGGCCTCATTTCATGACAGGCTTCAAGAGGAGTCCATTAAAAAGAAGAACAGATTCTACTTTTGTGTCACATCTCTACAATCCCATTAAAACTACTTGAGAAACACAGCGTGTATATAATTCAATACAGAATTTGGCCCACCATATTTATTTTACATAAAAAAACCCTCAGTACAGGGACAAGGATACATTTCCCTCCCTCCCTTTCTTCTGTAAACAAGGCTACCATAAATAGGAGCCATATGTAAAGCACATCTGCAGCTGTATTTATTTGTTCATTAGACTTTCTTTCTTTCTCTCTCCCTCTCTCTCTCCCTTTCCCTCCCCCTCCACTGTTTTTCCACCGAAGAGTATAAGGCTAGTAACAGTCACATTGGAGTGAACTTGCTGTGTCAAATAGGTTTAAGATAAAGCAAAAAAAAAAAAAAATTCTAATCCCCAGTGCCTGTCATACTGCAATTCCAATAAAGTAATTGCTTGCTAATATGATTTCATTAGGATAATAGTTTGTAATCTACTTAAGGACAGTCATTTTACCCTACAGAAAGAAACATATCGGGGAGAGTAGAAGTGGGAGTGTGTCATTATAGAGGAGAGAAAAAGCTTTCACAGATAGGAACTTTTTTCTTCTTCTTGTGGAATGTTTAGCACTCCTCTAAAGTCAATAATATCTGTACGGATAACTCCAGTATTCTGAATGGTATGTCGAGAAGGAATATTGAACTGGCGGCGCATGGGCCAGATGTGTCCTATAAGAGGTTAATTTCCAGCCGCCAGGTTCCCATCCCAGTACTACTCCCTCCATTTGTTCTGGTTATAGCAGCACTAGGTCTCTAGGGGCACCTATGCCCATGCCGGCCTTCTGCTCTGACATGTGCAAATTAGCACATGTTGGACCAGACTTGACTAATTGAGTCTGCTGGAGCATGTTAATTAACATGCTCCAGCAGCCTCTGTATCACATCTATTCAGCATCCTTGCACTTCAAAATGGCGGCGTGGGCGCTTTAACTAAAGTTTATCAAATGAGCTTTAGTCCAAGTGCCCCTTCTGCCATTTTGAAGCATGGGCTAAATAGACATGACTACAGGCACTTTAATTAGAGCGGCTCTGAGAGCTGCTCTAATTAAGCACCCTGCCCCCCTCTCACCCTGGAGCATGCGGTCCCACTCTTTCCTCTATCTTTCACTTTCTGACTGTGCCCAAAGAGCATGGTGGGGCCGGGCAGCCTGAAGTCCTGGGGGGAATTAGTGGCCCAGAGCTGCCACATGGCATGGTAAAGCAAGAGAGTTCCTGGTCATGAAGCTGAGGGTGGAACCAGTATGCTTACTTGCATACATAGTGCAGCAAAGAAGCGGTGTCTGCACAACAGGCAGCTCAGGAGGTCTGTTGCTTGTTTTTGTGTGGCTTGCATAGTGTGCAGCCCCTGCTGATGTGGCCCATGTGGTGTGCAGCCTTTTGCCACTTGAAAGTTGGACAGTCCTGGTCTAGAATACTCCTACATTATCTCTTCCTAAGTAGTATTAATGTAAAATAAAGAACTGCTCTCAACAAGTGGGTAGGTTCTTTGAAATCACTTATTTGAAACTATGGTATCACACATCTTCAACTAAACCATCTTAATGACTGACTCATAAATCAACCTGCTACAAATGAACTAATCATGACATGGTACTCAATGTAAAGTCTTGCACTTCTTGAATAAGATAGCCAAAGATGCATTTCTTATATCTCTTAATAAAAACATTAAGGCTTTTATTGAAGCCCTGTGAAATTTAAGGATATCTTTTAATTGATTTCAGTGAAAATTAGATTAGGTCCTCAACCTACCAAAGAGATTATCTTAAAGGAAAAGTTCTCCACGGCTAGAAGAAAATTGTTTACATTTGAAATGTCATCACTTTCCATTTTGTTGATCCAGTGCCCAGCCTAATAGTAAACAGAACATTTTGTATAGAGTATACAACAATAGTTTTGAGCAGCTAATTCAAACAATGTATGTCAGTAGTGTTGAACCAGATCAGTCCATGGAACCATGTCATGTGACTTGTGGGGCTCCCCACAGGTCTGGAAATTTGGCAGAGTGATGGTAATTAATGCTTCCACTTCTCCCATACCACCATATTTCCAAGTCTCAATGCCAGGTGAAATGGTCCTATATTGAAAACTGGATCAAGGCTGGGGCTGGGGCCTGATCTGATACACAGGGGGCCAGGGCCTTTTTCAGTGTGCAGGGCTCTAACTGGATTGGGCCCACAGCCCAGCACCACACTACTTACCTAGTCCACCGCCCACAAAGTGTGTGTACCTCTATTTTATATGATTTTTAACAATTCCACAGGAAATGTCCATTTAAAAAATATACCATAATCTGGAAAGCTATTGCTCTATACTAGATGAGAGAGAGAGAGAGAGAAGATAACTTAATATCAAAATAAGCATTATAAATAAAAGTCTGAGAAGTGCTTTTTTTAAAGAAGCATTCTAAAGCAAAATATAAAGGTAAAGTAGCATCTCAAACCATTAGACTAAATGTAATTTTTAAACGCAAAGCTTATAGGTAAATTAAATTAAACAAGGTACCTCATGTGGTGGAAATGCAGCCTCATAAGTTCCATTATTGAGAAGCCTATTGATACCTAGGCAGAAAAGAAAACTATTAGTTTCATTATGAATTTGTTATAGATACTATTTCAAGGAATGTTTCATTTCAGCTTTTGTACAAAGGGAAAATAATATGATGCTAAAAATAAGTTATTGTTTAGAGAGGCAGTAATTAGTCCTTTGAAAAACCAATACAAAACTGTTATTTCTTATCCATCATCAAGAGTTGGTGCAATGGGGCCCCTTACCTAATTGAAGGGCCCCTACCTCTGAAGGAGAGGCTGGCTCCAGCCTCCTGGACAAACTGATAATGGCAGAGAGCCCTTGAATAAAATGGCCACCTGGGCCAGGTATGACCAGTGATTGACAGGCCAGGGGCAGAAGTGGCAGGCCAGGTGACCCAGAGAGACATATCTGCCCAGGACCTGAAGCAAGGGTAGCAGCCTGGCCTTGTGAGCTGCAGGAAGCAGAGCTCCAGGGATGAGTGGGGCCAGACCAGGCAAGGAAGAAGGACTCCAGGCTTCAGGGAAACTGCAGGAAGCCTCTGAACCATCAAGCTGTCAACAATAAATATGTTGGGGTCTTGCATGATAGTTTTGCCATGGTTTGGTCTTAACCCACAATGGACAACTTTTTGTTTGAGAGCAAATGCTCGAATCTTTTTGTTTGTATTTAAATACTGGAGCACTAGATTGTGGCTGTAGGGGTGGAGGAGACCATTGAGAAAGGTGGGTGTACCCCAGGTCCTAGACCCTTTGAAGGGTCTGTAACTGCTGTTAGTGGAAGGGCTGCAGTGTTAGACAGCAAACACTGGAGCTGAGGGATGCAGATAGTGGATGTCAGGCAAAGGAGCCCAGCCAGAGTAAAGTGGGTCAAGGCCAGGGGGCCTTAGCCCAGACAAGGACCTGCCATTCCCCACTCCCCAACTGAATCGTAACATCAAGGCATGAAAAGAAAGACAATAAGGTGTGAATCTGGGAGGCCAGAGGGGGCCAGCAAGGTGGGGTCCAGGCACACACCAGGGGGTGACTTGGCTACACCAGTGCTGGACCTACTACAGCTGGTACTTTTTGTATCTTGGAGAGAGATACCTTGCTCTGGTACAGTCTGTTTGCACCCTTCCTCTGACAATAAAGAAGGTTTTACAGACATAGGAAGGATTACTTCTTTGTAAGGATGATCTTCCTGAGGCATAAAGTCAATATAGGTACACTCTATAGCAAGGAAAGTTATGTATGGTTACTTGATGTGTTCTGTTAACCCATTTCAGTCTACCTTTTCAACCTTGCTTTTTTCAGTTGTTAGATAAATCTCAGAGTAGGCTTCAACAGAGCTCAGGTGCAATCACCTTGAATGAGCAACAAACACAGCAGAATGAACAAATACAAAGGCATAATTTCTTTTGCACAACTCACCCCATATTTTGTACAACTGAACTGCAGCAGAGGATGTGATGGACTAGACTAAATTAGGATCAAATTGTGCACACACAATCTCTCTCTCTCAGGAAAAATAAAAGCTAGGATTCTTATACTGATATCAGTTTATTTCTATTTCACATATTCACATTACACTTTCTGCCAGAAATTAGACTTTCAGATGTAGATCGAAAAATATATACATTCAACGTGAATAAGTTAATGTTAGCATAAAATTCTGTGTTCTCTGATATTTTGATTTAAATGTGTATATGCTAACATTTATAGCCAATATATTTGGCTTTTTTCTTCAGTTAGCAATGAGAGGAAACTGAACAAATGCTTTGGCAAAATCCAGAATGTGTGCATAAAAACACTTCTTTTTCGATACGAAAAAAGTTAATTACCAGTGTCAATGTGGCAGCTTCTAATGTCCTCTAAAATGAATAGTGTTAAACATATTTGACATATATTTTTAAATATAAAGAAAGCAGGATATTGTACTGTATCTTTTGAATTATATCACCAGTTAATCAGAATTGAACTTTTAAAAACATGTGGTATGATGAATATTAATGTATTCGGGCAGGAGCTACTTAAATTGAGCATTTAGGGCAACATCGCATATATGCACATAAAGACTTTCAACAGCTATCAAAGAAAACAAATATACCACTTCCCAATGAACAATCTGGTAATGAATTGATTACAATGTTCATTCAGCTGTCATTGATTCAGTAAATTAATCTATCAGTGCTGTCAGTTTTCACACAGTTTATCCCATAAATACTTTTCCTAAGGTTTAGATGTAAGCTATTTAGTAGTCCTCATAACCCCCAACTGAAGGAGAATAATTATCATAAACATAATAAAAGAACTCTTACCCATTTTTGACTTTCCATCTTCATACTTTGTTCTCTGTAGCATGTGGTGCACTATTCTACTCCTTGTGGAATTGCTGAAGAAGCTGTCTTTGTTGTTGATTGTAAAGCTGTTAAAATGATTGATGCTTTCTTAATATTAAAAAAAGGCATGCAATTCTCAAAGAACATCTACCCAACAGTTTATTTTTACAGTATTGTACACATATAGTGGTACTTCATTTCCATGAGATATAAGGTTTTATATCTCCAAAGTACCCAAAACATCTCCAAGGCTTTGGCAAAGTATGTAACTATATGGATCAACAACTCAAATTTTCTGACGGGAAAATTAACCCAATGGTCAAGATCTAAATTTTTTATAATTTGGAGTGTGTCCTTTCCAGGGCGGTAACATTGGAATATTGTCACCGTAATGTTCCAGGGAATATTCAGGAAGCAGTTTTTCTCTCTCTTTTGGTGAAATATTTTACTGGACTAACCACAGAGATGGCAGAGATCATGGAGAAGCTAGCAGGCACAAAATGCCTTTCCCTGTGTTAATTCTTGATGTCTAACTTGTAAATACCATGGACCAAATAACTGGTAGTATTTAGCAGTATCAAATTTCATAGTTTCATAGTTTCTAGGGTCAGAAGGGACCTGAGCAGATCATCAAGTCCGACCCCCTGCCATGGCAGGAAAGAGTACTGGGGTCAGACGACCCCAGCAAGGTGTTCATCTAGCCTCCTCTTAAAGACCCCCAGGGTAGGAGCCAGCACCACTTCTCTTGGAAGTTGGTTCCAGATCCTAGCCACCCTG